CCCTCCAAATCAGTGTAACTCCAAAAATTACGTGGCTTTCAGGCAAAAAGGTAGGAAAAGGGATAACGATTTTTTACTAGAAAATATAAAACCCAGAAGAGAACAAACAACACCACACAAGCAGGCGTTTCCCACCAGCTCAGCACTGGTTTCTGTTCAGGTGGGGTTGGGACCATGGCCAGCAGGGGGTGCTGCAGTGACACACAGCCAGCAGGAGGCGCTGTGGTGATGGACTTGTGGCCAGCAGGAGGCTCTGTAGTAACTCACCCACAGCCAGCAGGAGGCGCTGAGGTGAACGACTTGTGACCAGCAGGAGTTGCTATCGTGACACACCCATGGCCAGCAGGAGGCACTGAGGTGACAGATCTGTGGCCAGCAGAGGGCACTGTGCTGACAGACTCGTGGCCAGCAGGGGGCGCAGTTGAATGACCCGTGGCCAGCAGGAGGCGCTGCAGTGAAGGACCCACAGCCAGCAGGGGGCGCTGAAGTGAACGACTCGTGACCAGCAGGAGGCACTGTAGTGACACGCCCGCGGTCAGCAGCGGGTGCTGTAGTGATACACCCACAGTCAGCAGGGGGAGTTGTGTTGACAGATCAGGGGCCAGCAGAGGGCACTGGGTTGACAGAGTCATGGCCAGCAGAGGGCGCTGTGGTGATGGATCAGGGGCCGGCAGAAGGTGCTGTGTTGACGGATCAGGGGTCAGCAGGGGGCGTTGTGTTGACAGACCCATGGCCACCAGAGGATGCTAGGTGATGGACTCTCAGCCAGCACAGGGTGCTGTGGGGATGGACCCATGGCCAGCAGGGAGTGCTGTGGTGGCTCTGCTGAGGGAACAGAACTGGTGTGGTGATCCCCATAATGGGGGTGGTGATCCCCACAGTGGGTGTGGTGATCCCTAGGTGGGTGTGGTGATCCCCATGGTGGGTGTGGCAATCACCATAAGGGGTGTGGTGATCCCCACAGTGGGTGTGGTGATCCCCACGGTGTGACAATCCCCACTGTGGATGTGGTGATCCCTAGGTGTGTGTGGTGATCCCCATGGTGGGTGTGGCGATCCCCATAATGGGGGTGGTGATCCCTAGGTGTGTGTGGTGATCCCCA